GGGAAAGAGATAAGCACCAATTCTGAATCTCTGGGGCTAAGACTTAGAGATGTAGAGAAAGGACATAAGGGAATTAGAGAACGTTACCTCTGTAAAGCTAAAGAAGAGCCCAACACCCCCCAGGATTTTCAGGGCTTCATCTGAATGCTTCAGAAACTTTTCTCCACACATCTGGCACGTGGGGCTCCGGCTCTTGCAGATCTGAGGATAAAACACACGTCTGTATGTTTGGAGGATGCAGAATTGCTACAGTGCTCTATCCTAATACCTATGGTGAATGACCCTCAAAATTATCCTCCAGTTCCTGATCAGTACCCTACAGACTGGAATCTCACTTGGCTAATTCTCTAGTGTCTGTATGCACTCCACCACTCCCACCAGCACACAGCCCCAATACAAGTGAGCTACTAGAGAGAGGCAATCACATTCAAACTCACATCTGCCAATTTGGGCATTGGCCTTACCCAGTGTCAGTCCATTCCCACCCTGGCACCCTGCACCCTTTCCCACACCAACTCACTGCAGTGCAGAAAGCATAATCTTGTTGGTCCAGGGTTGTGAGGTTGAACAGGCCACAGCAATCAAAACTTCTTTCCAGTTCATCCCGGGTCTTGTTGCTCATGACCGACCAAGAAGCATTGATGACATCTGTCTGGAGGGTATAGGCAGAAGAAAATTATTTGCTGCTAACCTTAAGAATCCCCTACATCCTGATCCCAGTTCGAGTAAAGGGAGTTAACATCCTTCAGAAGCAAAGGTGCAGACACAATGATAACTATCCACTTCCTCTGGATCATCCTCATGGACAATTAGCCAGACATCCCAGAGGAAGCAAATGGCTCCAGATTCTGGAAGTGGACCTAAGAATGACCTTTGGGGCCAGACTGAGAGTAGAGTTAGAGGTTAGAGGCGGAAAAAAATCAAGTACTTGAAAGGGCACCCTCTTACCTGTTTGCTTAGGTTAATAGCCAGACATGAGCAAGAGATTCCAAACTGGAAGATGAAGACCAAACCAAGGATGATCATGTACTGAGAGGAAGAGTTATGGAAAAAAAAAAAAGTCCTAGATTCTTTTATGTTCCACCTATAATAACTATCTGATCTAGTCATAGAACTTATAAAATTATGTCAGTTGAAAACAATAAAATCATCAGCTTCTGTTTCATAGAGTATGGTATAAGGGAGGGCAAGGAGACATATCCCCAAGATCCCTGAGGTCTCCTACCCTTGTCACTAACTTCCTAGCTGACTCGGCCCTCCCAAGAGCCCCAGTGCCCCCATCACTTCAGGTCAGGATACAAAGAACAGCAGTACTTGGTGGTGGTTGACGGCACCCACCAGTCCAGCCACCGCGATGAGAAGAAGGAAGACTCCCACAGCCATGACTCCTCCGATGATGTGGATGCTGGACACCAGATCCAGGCCCTTAGCCCAAGCAGCCACTCCAATGAGCAACAAGCCTACCAGCTACGGGAAACAGAGCAGGTACATCTCAAAGAATTCTAGTTTGCACCACAGCCAAAGGCCAAGGCGGGGAAGGGGGCGGGGCCCGGGGGTTGGACAAAAAAGAACTGAGTTTTTGTGTGAATGAAGGAGAGGAGGTGCTACTATCAGGGCCGGGAGAATCCCTGGGCGTTCCTCCCATCAGAGGTCAGAACGGCTGGGATAGGGGTGGGAGATGGCAGGGATAGCAGAGTCTATGAATATAAAATAGAACATTTAGCTTCATCCATCACTTCTATTTGGGAGAAACTTAAGTTCACAAGAGGGAGGGCTGGGCCTTTATGGCCACAGCCTTCAGTGCATTACCCCCACCCCCAGACAAACCCTCTGATCACCGGAAGTCTCCCCTCATCCCACGGAAGTCCCCAGGAATTCCCTCTTCGCCGGAAGTTCCCGGGAATCTTCCCGGAATCCCCAGTACACCCCTCTCCCCATCGGAAGTACCCTAGAGATTCTCCCTGCTCGCTTCTCCGACCTGAAGCTTTCCCCACCTCCAAAACCTCACCATGTAGACTACGTTGAGCGCGCACAGCGCATTCTTGGAGCAGGCAAAGCCTCCGCAAACCATCTCCCCAGCTTTGGGGACCCAAGTGGTCCCAAGGACTTGGGGGGAGGGTCGTGGGTACCGTCTTCTTGGACCCCGACAGCTTCTGTCTCTTTAAATCGAGTCCAGCCAAACCCAATCCTCTGCGCCTGCACCGTCCCACCCCTGCCTTTGCATTGGCGAAACTCGGGGCTAATCCAGGACGTCGATGGCCTGAGTGCCAATCAATCTGCATTGCGTCACTGAACCGCCTGCCGGCCCCTCCTTTAGGTTCTTTATTGGATGAAACTTAAAACTCGGGGCAGGGCTTCCAGAGATTCTCAAAGTGACCGGAGCCTAAACTTCAAAACCCCGGATTGAAAACAGAGCTTTCTGTGGTGGCAGCTGGAAGAGGTCTTATCCGAGGGAGGAGGCTCTAGAGAAACTCCGGTGAAGAGAGAGAAGATACCGGTGAAGAGAGAGAAGGTGCCGCTTCGAGGGCCGGGTGAAAGGGCTCCTCCCCTCAAGGGAGTGCCCTCCCGCCCCTTTCCCCTTCTGCAGTGACTTCATGATGACGCCCTCGTTCGCTGCTATTGCGTCACACTCTGGAACACCCAGAGAAACAAAATATTGAGCTATTTACCCCGTCTACAGAGGCCCCGGGTTGGGCACAGCGATACCTAGCAAATACATGTTTGCAAGTGCGTCCACTGGTACACATAGTCTGTTTCATATCCCCTCCTAACGGGGTGTGAACATGCTAGAAATTCAATATGAAAAACAGCAGCCTCGGGCCGGCGCATTCCTGTATGTGACAAAGCCACAGGTACAGACATGAGTGTGCTGGAATCTGCAGAGTACATGCCTGATCCTGGGCGCGTAAAAAAAAAAAAAAGACAAAGGGAGGGGTCTGGAATATGCATAAATATGAGGGGAAGGAGGAGTCCACATTTTCACTAGGCACGGCCATAGTGGTTGATCAATATTTGTTTATTATTAAATAAGTGCTTTGACACACGGCCTTCTTCGTGGGGATGGGAAAGGGCATAGTTCCTCTTTCCCCCAAGAGAAAGAGGCAGTCATAGTAGGAACACAAGTGAAAAACCTCCCTTCAAACCCACAGAATGATTTACATTTGTGCGTACTTAGATTCTATGACTGCGTAAGTGACATCATTTTACCGCTAGAGTCAGACTGCATGGGTTCCAACTTTGCCACTTACTAGCTGTGTAACCTTGGCCAGTTACTTAAGCTTTGGCCTGTGCCTGTTTCCTCATCTGTAAAATGGGGATAAATAACAATACACCTACCTCTTGGGTTGTTGTGAAAATTGAATGAGTTAATATATGTATATAGAATGCTTAGAACAGTACCTGGCACATAGTAAACACTCATTGTTAGTTATTATTGTTCAGGCTATTTTACAGTTTCCCGTGGGTAATCCTAACCCTAATTCTCATCTCCAACTACACATTAATATATTAAAATCCCCTATCCGTCACAAATTAGTATCAGTTAGATAAGCAGGAGAAGAGACATTTGGCAGGGCCAGAAAGGTTTGAGTCCTGAAACAAAATGATTACATCAAACTATCCACTATTTCCCCCCTCACCCACCCCTGCATCTTCATTCTGTCCTTCAATTCCTCATCCACCCTCTTCTCTCTCAGGTCCTAAATCAAGGGCAAGACAGTGGTATTAGGGATAAGGGGAACTGGTTGGCAAGCATCTTAGTTGGGTGGTGTAGTGAAAAGGGTATCAGAACACCTAGATCGGTATCCTTGTGTCACCTCTTACTGGCCTCTCTGAGCTTCAGTTTCCTTTTCTGCAGAATAGGGATAAAAATCCTACCCCTTGGGCCTTTCATGAAGTCTATATGTGTGAGAGTGTGTTGTAAACTATTAAGTGTTATAGATGAGTTAATTATTATGAAACTAATTGAACATGGAGCCTTGTGGTTTTGTCTGATTATAGGTTACTGTCCTCCATAACCTGTTCTCCCTGTACCTACTTGGCCCTTTAAAGCAGGAGGTGGTTGCAGTGGGGAAGCCGACTAAAGAAGCGTTACATTGCAAGAGGTAAGCATGTGAACTCTTTGGATGTGCGGAGTAGTTGGGCAGTACAACTGTAAGCTGGAATGCAGGGCATTAAAGGTGGCAGACCGGGTGTGTATGGATTCCTGTAAGAGTTTGAGACTGAACACAAACCTGTAGGTCATCAAGAGTTTGGGATTGCACCTGGGACCTGGTGTGCCATATTCTCCCAGCACCAACACCCATCTTAATTAGCCACCTCCCACAGGAGGCCCTGGGATGCTTGTTAAGGTCTCTCCATCCACCTGGCTGGGGAATCGTAGCAGGGACCAGCTGGCAGAGCTGATAGGCCAACACTAGAGGGGGTGGGTGGTGTAGGAGGTAGTGCCGACCCAGGCTGTGGGTTTGAAACTCACCAGTCAGGAAGTGAAGTCGACAGACGGAAGGGCAGGCAGGGGAGGGGAGTTCTGGGGCACAGCAGAAGAGGCCTTCTGGGGTTTGGGGGCTGCGGGGCCATGGGCTTCAGGGCCAGAGGTTGCTGTTAGCCCAGCAAGACAGATCTGGGCAACATGAATGCCCAGAGGCAGTTGGCTGTAGCTGCAGTGAGAGCAGAAGTCAGACGACATGAGGTGACCAGGCAGTCTCTAAGCCGCCTCAGGAAGCTGGCAGAGAGGGTGAGCGACCCTGAACTTCGGGACAGCATTCAGGCCTCAGTGGACCGCGTACGAGGTAAGAGAAGGATTTGCTCCCAACTTGGGTGTATTGGGGACCAGCAGGGGCATATAAGGGCTTGCTGGATCATACAGCACTTCCCAATCAGCCACTTTCTAGTCCCCAAGATGGAGCTGGGACTCTGGGGGAAGAATACATTTGGAAAGAATGGAAAAAGACATGGGAGGTATCATTCTTCCTCTTTCCCCAACTCTGATCCTTCTCCCAGGGGATCAAAATACAGGTCACTGCTGAGCTGAACTTGACAATGGAGAAGTGGGTGAGCATGGGGAAGACAGGCTGTGACATACCCGTGGTAGACTTGGACACTGCCTGGGGAGTCCGGGGCAGGAAGCAGTTTGGGGCAGGAGGTTCTGGGACTGGATAATGTGGTCATTCCCAGGACCCATGAAGGGTCAGTGACCTCTTGTTCTCCAGCTGTAGAGAGAACACACACACACACACACACACACACACACACACACACACACACCACAACAGATTGAAATACACCACGCAGAGTATCTCAGGCTCCCAGACATACACTAACGCTCACACAGCATGCTCTGCACAGCCGAAGTGCAAAGAAGTTCCCAGGACTCTCCTTGGTCCCCTCTCCTCCCCGTGCTCCGGTTCCTGTCTGCCGCCCCCCCACACCTTCCGCCCTTCGTCCTTAGTGCCATTAGAGCAAGTGATGACAACACAGGGAGGAAGTGCTGCTATGGCAACACCATCCGCCACATCCTCCTGCCCACCCCAGCCTTCAATCCTGTGGTGGGGCCCTGGCAGGAACAGCTTCTCTCTATCCACAAGGCCCCACCACTAAGGAACTGGTGGAACTGGAGGTCACCTCTGGTCTGGTGTCATCTAATTTGCCCCGAAGCTGCAAAGAGCCAATAAAAGCCGGCTACTTTGCTCATGAAAGGTGTCTGGGAGAAGCACATCCTCCATCATATCCTGGTCTCTTCCAGCCTCTCCATTCTTAGCTGCTTACCTGGGGCTTGGGATGGGGGGATGGGCAAGATACTGTTCTTTCCATCAAGGATACCTCCTGCCAGACCCCTCTGATAGTAGAGGCCATCAGAGCATAACTTGGGGAAGAACCAGTTTGGTTCAGGTTCCTAAGGGAACAGTCTGATTCCCTTCCCATTTCCTTTCTTCCAGCAGTGCCCCTCTCACCTCCTGTCCCCCACCATTTGCCAAGAACTATAGCTGATACCTTCCCTACAGCTGTTGGAAAGGCAGGCCTAGTGGGGAGTGGCCCCATGGGGCCTCCTAGGGAGGAACTCCAAGCTCCACCCCAGTAGGAAAAGAAAAGGGTGGGGGAGGAAAGAGGTTTAGCCAGGTAGAGGAACTCAGTTTAGCTCTAGAGAGGAGGGAGTGAGGAGGGGTGGAGGCTGAACTCTTTGAGAAGACCACTCTTCATAAGTGATTTTTGTTCCACTCTAAGAGTCAGTATTCTGTTCCCATTGAACTTCAAGGAAAACTGAGGCCACCAAAGGAAGGAAGGAGAATTAAGCCAGAATCAGCAAATCTTCACCTTCTCTTTCAAGAAAAGGGTGCTGAAGGGTCTTCTGTTCTGGGGATGGTGTCATCCTGACGCTGCCGTGGGAGGGGGGCTCTGGGAGGGGTGCTGACCTCGGGACAGGTCCGCAGAGTGAAAGGGTACAGGTCTCAGGGAGAACAAAGGGCACCCAGCATCCTGGTACTGCCCCCCCACCTTACCCCCTACCAGGCCGAGCATGCCGCTGGCTTCAGCCTCCGAGAGCCGCCCACGGCAGCACTTATTATAGTCTCCGCTGCGTCAGGAGGGTGGGACGCCAAATTAGGGGAACGCTGAGACTCCCCGAGTCCCAGGGAGGGGTCTCCAAGGCTGAGAGGAGGGCTTGCTTGACGCCCGCCCCACAACTGCCGGTCTCAGCCTCTGTCACCCATCGGCCTACCCCCTTCAACCTTCTCCCTGGGCTGGAGGACAGTAAGCCTTCAACTCCAAGGTCCCTAAAGGGGTGGAGGACACAGAGCAGACGTTTTCCATTCTTTCTGTCGGTCTCCTCTTTAACCTTCTAAAAAAGCCCCACCCCGAAAACCTCAGGAGATTGAATGGAAACCCAGAAGAGGCCTGTACCCTCTGCCTCAACTGAGTGCGGTCTTTATATTGGGGTGCTAAATACCCCACACGTGGGTAACCAGATGTGAAGGTGGTGCCTCCTTTAACCCCAAATCCCCTGGCGGGTGCCCCCGCCCACCATACACACCGATCCTCCTCTCTGCTTATCCCCGCTGTTTCTGAGGCACTCTTGGAGCTACGGTTGCTATGGAGACCGGATGAATTTTGGTATGGGGGGTGGTGTCATCTGTAGACGTATTCCTTCTCCTTCCACCCCGAGCTGGAGTCTTTTGACTCACTTTTCGGCCTGTGTTCCTCGACTCCTCAGATCTTTCCCCTGCTGAGGCACCCCCTCCTTCCACCCACCTTGCTAAGTTCCATGTTTGTCCCCATCTCCAGGGAACACTTTCCAAGTTCACTTTGGGACAGTTAGGCTCAAGTGCGGCCCAGTCAATGCACCGCGTATGGAGGGTGGGGGTGGGCGAGGGGGCTGGGTCATGGGGAAAGGGACTCGTGCAAGTACCTGGGGGAAACAAGGGGTCCTGGGAAAAGGATTTCAGGGCTCCCCACTTTCCCACATCAGCTTCCCCAGAGTTGGCAGTGAACCCGCATTTGCTCCGTTTTCTCCGAGGATCGTCCACCCATACACCGATCTTTACTCTCGCGCCTAAATGTTATACCCAACAGTAGCGCTCCCTGACCGGGGTGTGCTAAGGGAGGGTGCTGGAGTGTTGGAGTAGGTGAGTCCAAGTTCCAGGAAATCCAGCCCAGGATTTGGGAGGGAAATCCAGTCCTGGATTTTGCACCGCCTTCGCAGACAGCCGTGCTGGGGGAGAGAAGGTGCGGGGGGAGATAGAGTGGGGAGGGGGGCCGGGGGCCGCCTCCTCCTCACTGTGAGGGGAGCGCCCGGACACAGCGCGCATCCGGACCAAGCCGAGCCCCGGCGAGCCCCCCAGACCCTGCGCCCGGATCTCACGCCCCTCCTCTCCTAGACCCCAGACCCGTGGGTGCCCACCCCCTCCGGCTTCCCTCCTTCCTCCCCCGCCGGCGCCTGTATCTCCATCCCCAGCATCCTCCCCGCGCCCCTGCGAATCCCCCGCACGACCAGCCCCATTAGCTTCCCACCCTCCTTGAGACCCCCTCTCCGACCCCCCATCCGCGGCCCCTGCCCCTTGAGTCCCCATCCCCGCCGCCTCCCCCGCACCGGTTCTTCTCCCTAGCCTCGGGTTCCTCTTTTCTGCCCCCTTTTCCTCCCTCTCCCCTCTTTGCCCCTCTACAGTCCTCCCCGCCCTCCCCCGCCCATCTCAGCGCCGCCACCCAGGCCGGGGTGCGGGGTCCGGCGCGCCTCCCTGGAGCAGCACCAAGGTCCCGGGGCTCCAAAGGGGTGGGGGGGCAGGGCGGGGAGCATGGGGAGGGGGCGCCCCGTGTGATGGGAGGGGGGCGCAAGCGGAGGCGGCGGCGGCGGCGGCGACAGCGGAGCCGGGCCGGGGGCTCAGCGGGGTCCGGGGGCTGGGGGCAGCGAACAGGGCGGCCCCATGGCCGGGCCCCCCTGAGGCAGTCCGGGGGAGTCCCCTCCCCTCCCCAGCTCGGGGGTCTCGGGGCCCCATGAGCCGGGGCGCGGGCGCGCTTCAGCGCCGGACAACGACCTACCTCATCTCGCTGACCCTGGTCAAGCTCGAGTCGGTGCCTCCGCCGCCGCCTTCTCCGTCTGCGGCCGCAGCTGGTGCCCCGGGGACCAGAGGTACCGAGACCGGGGATCCTGGTAGCCCCCGAGGCGCGGAGGAGCCGGGCAAGAAGCGGCACGAGCGTCTCTTCCACCGGCAGGATGCGCTGTGGATCAGCACGAGCAGCGCGGGCGCCGGGGGCGCCGAGCCCCCCGCCCTGTCCCCGGCTCCGGCCAGTCCGGCCCGCCCCGTCTCCCCGGCTCCCGGCCGCCGCCTCTCCCTCTGGGCCGCCCCTCCCAGGCCCCCACTCTCCGGGGGGTTGAGTCCCGACCCCAAGCCCGGGGGCGCCCCCACCTCCTCCCGGCGCCCCCTGCTCAGCAGCCCGAGCTGGGGGGGTCCGGAACCCGAAGGCCGGGCGGGCGGCGTCGTCCCCGGTTCTTCCTCCCCGCACCCCGGCACCGGCAGCCGGAGGCTCAAGGTGGCGCCTCCTCCGCCGGCTCCCAAGCCTTGCAAGACCGTGACCACCAGTGGCGCCAAAGCCGGCGGGGGCAAGGGCACCGGTAGCCGCCTGTCATGGCCCGAAAGCGAGGGCAAGCCCAGGGTCAAGGGGTCAAAGAGCAGCACCGGGACTGGAGCTTCTGCCGCTGCTGCTGCTGTCACCGCCGCCGCCGCCGGGGGAGGGGGAGCGGCAGCCACGACCGCAGGTGGGGTCGGGGCTGGGCCCGGAGCCCGAGGGAAGTTGTCCCCTCGGAAAGGCAAGAGTAAGACCTTGGACAACAGTGACTTGCACCCGGGACCGCCTGCTGGGTCTCCTCCTCCGCTAACCGTTCCAGCAACCCTGGCTCCAGCCGTTGCTGTCACCGCCGCCTCCGCGCTGCCCACTGGGCCTGCACCTCCAATCACTCTGGAGCCTCCAGCTCCGGGGCTGAAACGGGGCCGGGAGGGGGGCCGAGCATCCACTCGAGATCGCAAGATGCTCAAGTTTATCAGCGGCATCTTTACCAAGAGCACAGGGGGGCCTCCTGGCTCCGGACCTCCTCCCGGACCCCCGGTCCTGTCTTCTGGCAGCGGGTCTAGGGAGCTGCTGGGTGCAGAGCTCCGCGCTTCCCCTAGTGAGTAGGACCAGGGCCTGAGAACAGCGAGGGGAGGGCACCTGAAATGCTCAGCTTGGGGTGGGGGAGCGGTGTGCAGGACTGACTTAGAGAAGCTTCTTTCTTGGGTGGGCGGGTGAACCAGGCTCAATTCTCTGCCAAGGACTGGGGCAAAGGATAAGAAATCCTGGAGAGGGGTGAGTAGGCATTGCGGGACATGAGAGAAGACTTGATTTCAGAGGGACTCAGAAAGCCTCAGAGCTTTCTGGGAAAATAATGCCCTTGGTCAGCGTGGCTGTAGGAAATTGCTCCCAGAGAAGCCCCAGACCCCACTTCCAGCCTCAGCTGGACTCTGGGAGATGGAAACGGGGCTTTGCCTTGCCCAGAGGAACACTGAAGGTGAAAGGGATGAGGAAGCCTCAGTTTCTCCTGAGCACTTGGGGTAGGTGGCATGAGCGTGACCTTGCAGGCAGCTCCTCGCCAGGGACAGGTCTTTTCCTGGGCTGAGAGCAGGCTAGTGAGGCAGCAGGGAGGCAGTGGGTTTCTTTCCAGGCAGTGAAGGCCGATTGGGCAGTACGGGAGTACGTGGAGGCTGGAACATGCTGAATACTTGAATGTGAAGGGAGAGGGGCTCATAGGAAGCCTCACTTCCCCCACCGCCCACCCCAGCCCCCTAGCAGCGTTGAAACCCGCAGGGGACCGACCAGGAGTGACTCAGGGGGGTGGAACTGCTGCAAAGGCAATTCTCACCCCTGGAGACTTGGGAGAGGGTGTGGAGAAAGTAGTGTCTTTTTGCGGGGAGGGGGGTGTCTTTATTTATTTTCTGGAAGAGAGAGGCGAGGGCGTCTTGGTTCAGCTCACACTCCCGGGAGAGGAGGCGGGTCCGAGAGCGCGGGCGGCCCCCGGGGTTTGGCTCTGGTGCGGGTGGGAGCAGATGGCTCCGGATCCCAGAGTTCCCGCCGCAGCTGCGGCGCCCCGGGAACGTCCGGCTAGTGTCAGGCGCGGGGGCTGGACCCGGCGGGCGGAAGGAGCATCCTTCCCTCCCCCGTGCCCCCCATCCCTCCCCAGGCCTGTGGCTTCTCTCGGCCAGGGAGTGGAGCCCTTCCCCACCGTTCTCTTGGAGGGTGCTTGTGGGAAGGGTATGGGAGAGGGAGGTATAGAAAAAATCCAAGCTCCATTTCTTGGGCTGTGGGGAGGGGTCAGGGCCACCGTGCCGTTGACCTTGAAAAGGGGGAAGGATATCCTCACCTCAGTTTCTGTCCTGTGAAATGGAGATTGAGGAAGACCCACTCCCTTCTATGTCCCAGCCCCTCTTCCTGAGATCTGCCCTGAGAATCTGTCAGGCCGGTGGAGAGGACACCTTTTCTCCTTCCAGAGGGAAGAACCCGCCACGGTCAGAGCCTTGGTCCCTCGGTCTGGAGCAGGGACCTACGTTTGGGGATGTGCTTAAAGGGAGATGCCAACCGAAGTATTTTTGTCTTGCTGGCTCCGTTGCTAAGCAACCACTGAGCGGCAGCAACAGCTGTGGGGAGAGTGGCTAGGATGGGAGGACTGGGGACCACTCTCAAACCTAGCCTTTCCACACAGCTCTCCAGCCCAGGCTGGGCAGCTACAAAAGGAGGAGGGCTAGCTGAGGGTTGGGAGCCCTCCTTGGCCTGGAGCATCCCCTCTTACAACTTTTCCGTTACAGAAGCTGTGGTCAACAGCCAGGAATGGACTTTGAGCCGCTCCATTCCTGAACTGCGCCTGGTAGGTAACCCAGTCCCTTGTCTGTATGAAGATTGACCTCCCCCCACCACCCCGCCCGCCACTGAACTCTCAACTCTCTCTCCTTCACCTCTTCCCTTCCCTCTCTGTGAGAATGGGGAGTAGTTTTCCGTTTCTCCTGAGAGTCTACCTTCATGGCACCTTCCTGGGACTTGATACATCCGCACAACCTTTTCTTCTGTAGTCCCCCTTCTTCCTGCTTGTCCATGGTCCTCTTCCAGACTTCTTATTTCTGACATCTCCCCTCTAGCCCTTCATGTTCTGTTGCCTAGAATTGGGTAAAATTTTCCACCTAGTGCCTAGAGCTGTGACATGCCCCCCACCAGACATGCATCTAGTATGTTTCCTAAACAACACAACACCAAAAAAAAAAAAAAGGTACTGAGGTGTTGACATTCTTCAGCTTGTCGTACACTTCCAGCTTGAGATCATTTCTTACACATGCATGGCCTGATCCTCCCAAATGCTCTCTCCTGACTGACTGTCAGCCAGGCCCTGTAGGACCCTGCTTGGATGATTTAACACTGCCAGTCCCTTTGAGTTCTCTGGAGTGTCCAGACTCAATTATCCTCCTTCCTCTTAATTCCTGCAATCTCTGTTCTACAACCTTGTCCTCAGGGTGTGCTGGGTGATGCCAGGAGTGGGAAGTCATCGCTCATCCACCGATTCCTGACCGGTTCATACCAGGTGCTGGAGAAGACAGAGAGTGAGTTCTCAGGAGCCATAGTAAGCTAAGGATTGGGGTCAGGGATCCAGGCAGTGTGATCAATGACTATGCAGGTATGGAGACCAGAGGGAAGAATGAGGCCAGAATAGCTAAAGTACAAGGAGAATGGGGAGGTTTGGTGACTGTGACCTCTGACCACCTACCACATCCAACTCTTCTGGACAGGTGAGCAGCACAAGAAAGAAATGTTAGTGGATGGACAGACTCATCTGGTGTTGATCCGAGAGGAAGCTGGGGCACCTGATACCAAGGTGAGGGATGAGATGATGGGGTAGGTAGGTGGGCTGGGGTCAGCACTAGCCAAAGGAGAGGGCTCTGGTTTCCCAGGTCTCCTTGGGAATAGCATCCAGAGGAGTGGACCTGTCTGACCATCCATTTGCTCCCTCACGCTCCGCAAGTTCTCAGGCTGGGCAGATGCTGTGATCTTCGTCTTCAGCCTGGAGGATGAGAACAGTTTCCAGGCCGTGAGCCGTCTTCATGGGCAGCTGAGCTCCCTTCGGGGGGAGGGACGAGGAGGCCTGGCCCTGGCATTGGTGGGGACACAAGGTAAGGAGGGGCTGGAGAAGTGCTGCTTTCAGGGGAGTTCCTACTGGGTATCACCCAACATAGGTGAGAGCTTGGTAATGTGTGGACACGGCTACTTGGACTTCAGTAACCCTCTGGAAGGAGCCTGGTCTCCAAATAAGAGAGTCATTAAACCAAGCATAAACTTACCAAGGTCTGAGAGAGAAAAGAGGACTCTCCAGGATGGAAGGGACAGCTACAGTGGCAGTCCTCATTCCTCTGAGATGTCACCTACCTTGTGTTTCTCACGCTGCCATTTCCTGATGCCACCACCATGGGAAATACAGAAAATCTCAGGCCCTAGTGTGGCTAGAAAGCCCTCTGCATCTTCCCCTTGCTACAGCTGGGTCAGGCTGACACTTTTCAAAGGAACTTATCTAAAAACAAAGAGAAGACGTAAATGAAATGATGGAGAAAACACAGAGAGGGCCACCAGGCCATCTTTTCCAGCAGAGCCAGGAAAAGCTTCTCCAGTACCCACCGTATGAAGCCGGCAGGACTTTCTGTCTGGATGTCTATCTTGCAGGTGGCTGCTTCCACCTGTCGCTTGCCTCCTCCTTTCTTGCTGCAGATGAACAGTCCACCTGTTATCTGTGGACATTCAACCTCTTCCTGGTTCATATGCCGGGTGTCCTCCCACCCAGCTCAGGGTTCATTGAATTTGCAAGGCTGGGTGACTGTCACTCATGAGTCTCAGCCATTTCAGACCTTATCAGGATGTTTCGTTCACCTCTGGAGTATTCTTTGAAGACAGTCACACAGAGCTAACCCACCCTACTCATGCTGCAGTTGGGCATGTGAGCTGGGCTCAGCATTCACAAAAGGCTTATATGCTCCCATTGCACTGGGTCATAGGAGGGATATTCTCTCATACCCTGTCCTAGTGGTCCCAGTCTAGGACTAGAGCCCAAGAGAAAGGAAAGCAGCAAAGTGGGGATGGGGCCCCCTCATCCAGTCCTCCCCCTTTCTTGTCCCCTTAGACCGGATCAGTGCTTCCTCCCCTCGGGTTGTGGGCGATGCTCGTGCCAGGGCTCTGTGTGCCGATATGAAGCGCTGCAGCTACTATGAGACTTGTGCGACCTATGGGCTCAATGTGGACCGGGTCTTCCAAGAGGGTGAGTGTGGTGATCCCCACATATGTGGGAATCAGGGAGCTGGGGACTAGGATATTCTTAGAGGTCACACATCCAGACCTCTCTCTGTGACAGGAAATTAACCTGCATAGGAGGGAGGTCAGAGAAGGTTTGCTTCATAGCCACAGGTCCTTCTGGACAGGAGGAGCTGGCTAGGCTACAGGTGGCATGAAGGCCACAGTGACAAGGAAGTTGGGACCTATGTTATCTTCTGGGGAGTTCTCAAAGCTGGGTAACGAAAGGGGGTCTTGGGTAAATGCCCTGCTCATTCCTCCTTCTCCCCCTCCCCTCAGTGGCCCAGAAGGTGGTGACCTTGCGCAAACAGCAACAGCTTCTGGCTGCCTGCAAGTCCCTGCCTAGCTCCCCAAGCCACTCAGCTGCTTCCACTCCTGTAGCTGGGCAGGTGAGTTGGAGTTTCAGGGTCCACAGAGGGGCTGGTAGGAATCAGAGGAAGGGCTGGTGATCCAAGGACAGGTACAGAGAACCCAAGGAGGTTGCGGGGGGGCAGATGGAAATGGCAGTGATACCATTTGTCGAAAGTGCATTGGACTGGAAATCAACCAGGCTTGAAACACCATTTGCAGCGTCCTTAAGCAACTCACCCAAACGTCCCAAGGTTGCCAGGAAAATTGTATGGCATAATACTTGTGAAGTCAACCTTTGCAAAATCTAAAGCACTGTGAGGAGTGCTTATTATTAATGATAATACAAATAAATGGTGATGAGATGAAGGAATATCTCAAATTCCTCAGAACTAGATGCGACTGTAGCTTGGTGGTGGGGGCATCTCAACTGTTCTGACCCCTCCATCTGCCTGCAGGCTAGTAACGGCGGCCACACTAGCGATTACTCTTCTTCCCTCCCATCCTCACCCAACGTTGGTCACCGGGAGCTCCGAGCTGAGGCAGCTGCCGTGGCTGGATTGAGCACCCCAGGGTCCCTGCACCGGGCAGCCAAGCGCAGGACCAGCCTTTTTGCGGTATCGGGCATTCTAACCTCCTGTCATCCTGTCCTCTGTTACCTGCCCATCTTCCCTCATCCCTAGACCTCTCTGTTGGGCCTTTCTTCATCTGTCTTCCCTGTCCTTCCGTCAGCATATCCCTCTATCCACCCTCTAACTGATGCCAGTGCCCATTCCAGAATCGTCGGGGCAGTGACTCTGAGAAGCGGAGCTTGGACAGTCGGGGAGAGACGACGGGGAGTGGGCGAGCCATCCCCATCAAACAGGTGGGTGGCCCAGGGACTGGGGGCAGGCTGGAGGTAGGTGCTCTTAACTGGTTTTCTCCCATATGCCTCTTTCCGTTCTCCAGAGCTTCCTACTAAAGCGAAGTGGCAACTCCTTGAACAAAGAATGGAAGAAGAAATATGTGACCCTGTCCAGTAATGGCTTCCTACTCTACCATCCCAGCATTAATGTGAGTGCTAGAGACTGGCTGGGCCACACTGGCTGGCCTTGGATGCACTTCTAGCTCTCCCAGTCTGTGCCTCTGACAAACTCCAACATCGGTTCTGGGAAGCGCTAGTCCTATTCTTCTCAGTTTAGCGAACATCTGCTAGGCACCTACCATGTGCCCATGCAGGAGATGGAAATGTAAATACATCTCCCTAGGACTTGCAGTTCAGTGGGAGAAAATGGAGGAAGGACCTCCACCTGGCCTGCCATTCGGGGATGCTTTCTGGAGGAGACAGTGCTGGGCCCAGTCTCTTGGGCTCATCCCCTAGAGCTCATCCCAACCCAGTCCGCTCCTAGAGCCCCCTCTCCAGCCCTTCTCTAGCCGATATTATTGGCTGCTTCCCAGCACCACTGAGGGCCCCAACCTTCCCTATACTCTCAACCCCTATACTGCTGCAGGATTACATCCACAGTACCCATGGCAAGGAGATGGACTTGCTACGAACAACAGTCAAAGTCCCCGGCAAGCGGCCGCCACGGGCCATCTCTGCTTTTGGCCCCTCAGCCAGCATCAATGGGCTGGTGAAGGACATGAGCACTGTCCAGATGGGGGAAGGCCCTGGTGAGTGGGGCTGATGACAAAGGGGCAGGAGAGGGGCCGGGGCTAGGAAAAGGAGGGGTGGTAGGGAAGAAGGGAATGGGACTGGTTAAGCGGGAAGGTGGGTGATGAAGAGGGACCATGTAAGGAGTGGGGCCCAGAGACTGAGTAGCTCACTGAGGACTTATCTTCTTCCCCTTCTGACAGAAGCCACCACTCCTACCCCAAGCCCCAACCCCAGCCCCAGTTCCCTGCAGCCACCACCAGACCAGACATCTAAGCATCTGCTGAAACCAGACCGGAATCTGGCCCGAGCCCTCAGCACTGGTCAGTGGGGACTCGCCCTCCATCCACTGTCTTCCAGATCTAGGTGGGAGGCAGTGGGAAGTGAAATTGGGGTGGGAGCTTGGAGGCTGAATGCATGAGTGGACACCTTGAGCAACAACTGGGTGCCCAGGCACCCAGCTCAGTCATACCGTGTTTAGCATAATGGCTAAGACAACTGGGTTCTAGAGCTAAGCTGCCTGAACTTGAACTTGAATCCTGGCTTGCCACTTGGGCAAGTTACTTGACCTCTCCACACCTCAGTTTCCTCATCCGTAAGAGGGAGATAATAGTTTCTACCTCAGACAGTTACTTTGAGGCTTATACTGAGAACATTGTGCAGCACATAGCCAGCCATCAATGTTTGGAATGTTTGGAAATATTTATTTTTTAAAAATAGCAAGTAACATTGTAACAAATGGTCCTCACAACAACTTTGTCGGGTCAAGATTATTATCCCCATTTTAGGGATGAAGAAACTGAGGCTCAGAAGATTAAGTGACTTGCTCAAGGTCTCAAGGCCAGTAAGTGGCAGAGCCAGGATCTGAGTACAGGTCTGACTCTAAACCACTCATCTGCCCTCCTCCCCAGGAATGATCAAGGGGGACCTCCTAGAGACGGTTGGCTGAGGAGGGGGACCCTAAAATGCCAAATCTAGTTCAGGGGAGACAGGCTATGGAGAAATCAGGAAATCTATGGAGGGGGCAGCTGAGGCAGCTGTGTCCCCCTCCCTAAGACTGTACCCCATCTGGAGACCTGAGCCCCCTGAGTCGGGAACCCCCTCCTTCTCCCATGGTGAAGAAGCAGAGGAGGAAAAAGTTGACAACACCATCTAAAACTGAAGGCTCGGCTGGGCAGGCTGAAGGTGAGGCCCTGGTGGACAGTTCTACTCCCACCCTGGACCCTCACCCCTAAACTCCAGATCCCTGACCTCACTCCTGCAGGAGGAGGAAAAGTGCCTGAGCTGAGTGCTCGACTATGATTACCAGTCTGCACATTATTTAGTGAAAAGTGGATGGATGCCCCTCAGCCCCTGTCCTTCCTCCCATTCCCCAGCCAATGCCTTTTACCCCAGTAGTCCCCAGCCCGTTCTCAGTGACCCCTCATGTCTGCAGCTCCTGCACCCCTCTTAATGACCCTCTCATTCCTGTTGCTGCCCTCAACTCTGCTTGTCACCCCAGCCCCTGCACCCAGAAGGCCCCACGACCCCCAAGGACTCAGCCCCTGACCTCTGTGTCCCCCACTGACCCCCAGGGACTCAGCCCCTGACCTCTGTGTCCCCCATGACTCCTCAGCTCCTGGGCTCTGACCACCCAGCTCCTGTTCTCAATAACTTCCTGTGATTGCCAAGCTCCCCCAGCAGCCTTTGACTACAGTGATTCCCATTCCTGCCCCTAGTGACTCCCCCCAGATCCTTGAGACTCCTCCTGAACCCCAGGGACCCCTCACCCCAGGCCTGTGAACTCCTGTCCCCTTTCCCCATGTTCACTCAGATGCTGGCCCTCCCTTCCTTTCCCAGAGACCCGGCTCCTCACTGGTCATGATAACCAGTCCCCACCGCCCCTGCTCTCTGCCGGGTGCTCAGATCCGGGTTCCAGATCTGCCTACTCTCATGGCTCTTGGCTTCCGCTCTACTCTGCTCCGGGGCCACTGACTTTAGTTCTGCTTTCTCTCCCCATCTGTCTGTCCTGCTTTGTCTCTGGAACTGTCTGTCACTATCTATCTCTCCATCTCTCCATCTGCCTCTTTTTCTCCTTTCTTCGTCTCTTTCTCTCTTCTGCTCTTCATTCTGTCTCTATCTCCTTCGCTTCGGGAAACCAGCCAAGCGCAAAATGTGGAAACTAAAATCCTTTGGTAGTTTAAGAAATATTTATAAAGCAGGTAACAAGTGGGGAGCTGGGTGGGGCGCCCAGCTGGGGTGCAGCGGGGCGGGGGTGCTCCTGCCTTCCCCTGCATGTGCTCGGGCTTCCTGCTCTCCCCCACCCTCTGCTTCCCCAGTGACTCTGCCCCACTCCCAGGGACTTGGGATGGATATCAGGGAGGAAGAGGGTTTGGGGAAGGCAGCTCCTGTTTGAATTCTGTCCCTCATGACCCCATCCCATCCCCCCACCCAGAGGAAAACTTCGAGTTCCTGATCGTGTCCAGCACTGGTCAGACGTGGCACTTTGAGGCAGCCAGTTTTGAGGAGCGGGACGCCTGGGTTCAGGCCATCGAAAGTCAGATTCTAGCCAGTCTGCAATGCTGTGAGAGCAGCAAGGTCAAGGTAATGGGTCGGGGGTCGGGTGGAGAGCAGAGGTGAGTGTCTGAGGAGTCCGGATAAGGGCTCAGAGGGAGAGTCAGTACTAAACCCAACCCTTCCTGCAGCTGCGCACAGATAGCCAAAGCGAAGCCGTGGCCATCCAGGCGATCCGGAACGCCAAGGGGAACTCTATCTGCGTGGACTGCGGGGCCCCCAGTGAGCGCAAGGGAGCAGTGGAGGGACCTGGGAGGGAGTGTGGTTCGCTGGAATTGATGAATGCTGGGGTGCCCGTGCTGCTCGGCCAGGAGCTGACTCCTGCATTCCGTCCCCAGACCCCACGTGGGCCAGCTTGAACTTGGGCGCACTCATCTGCATCGAGTGTTCTGGCATTCACCGGAACCTGGGCACACACCTGTCCCGCGTTCGCTCGCTCGACTTGGACGACTGGCCGCGGGAGCTGACCCTGGTGCTGACAGCCATTGGCAACGACATGGCCAATCGCGTGTGGGAGAGTGACACGCGGGGCCGTGCCAAACCCACGCGGGACTCTTCGCGGTATGCGTGCAGGAGAGGGGTAGGGGAGACTTAGGGTGTGCGGCTCCCGAGACGGTCCCCTGGGTAGGGAGCAGAGGTCCTGGGGGCGGGGTCCCTAGAGCCCTTCCCGTTGATCCCTGGTCCTGCAGGGAGGAGCGGGAGTCATGGATTCGCGCCAAGTACGAGCAGCTGCTGTTTCTGGCGCCGCTGGGCACTTCCGAGGAGCCGCTGGGCTGCCAGCTGTGGGCCGCGGTGCAGGCCCAGGACGTGGCCGCCGTTCTCCTGCTTCTGGCCCATGCGCGACACGGGCCGCTAGACACCAGCCCAGAGGACCCGCAGCTTCGCTCCCCACTTCACCTGGCGGCCGAGCTCGCCCACGTCGTCATCACGCAACTGCTGCTATGGGTACGTGAGCGGGGAGATGGTAAAGGGGTCTCTGAGGGCTCCGTCTGGCAAACAGCCAGGCGCGGGAGAGCCCGAGGGCCCCAAAGGGACCCTGGAAGTGGGCCCGGCGATCCCGTGAAGCCGGCGGGCGGGGTTTGGCCCCTGGGACGCTCCGTAACGCGGCCGTCTCCGCCCTTTAGTACGGTGCCGACGTGTCCGCCCGCGACGCGCAGGGCCGCACGGCGCTGTTCTACGCCCGCCAGGCTGGCAGCCAGCTGTGCGCCGACATCCTTCTCCAGCACGGCTGCCCGGGTGAGGGCGGCAGCACAGCCACCACCCCCAGCGCGGCCACCACCCCCAGCATTACCGCCACGCCCAGCCCCCGTCGCCGGAGCAGCGCCGCCAGCGTAGGCCGAGCCGACGCCCCCGTCGCGCTGGTATAGTTGCGCCGCCGGAGAGACACCCCCTACCCCACCACGGACCGGGCACGACCATACTGGGTGGACCGCTGGACAGATGCACCCACTCACCTCTCCAATCCGCACCCCGTCCCATGGGAGCACTTCTTACCCCCACCCAAGAGGGCACAGCCCCCACGCCTCCCAGAAGACACAAACTCACCTCCCTCTCCCCAACGAGGCATGGAGACCCCTTCTTGACACGCCCCCTCTCCACTGTTTGCACCCTCGGATTGCTCTGGGTCTACTCTCTGGGTGTTGGCGGGAGGGGACGCCCCCGTCGCTGTCCCTGCTCCTGGCCGTTTGGATGTGCCCGCTCGCGCCCCCTGCGGGTGGGGGAAAAGACCCAGTCCTGCCCGTGCTCGACAGTCCCACGGCGCGCGAGCACTTACCCAGGCTGGCTCCTGGGGCGACGCCACGCCACAGGGAGGGGTTAGTAAGTGGGAGGGCTAGCCCTGGGACTTGGGGCCAATAAGGGGGACCCTACCCCTTCCATACTAATCTCACTGCCCAGTGAAGGGGGAAGGGCAGCGAGGGGCAGGACCCCTGCTGCCCATGGGGGTAGGGGGTCCCCAACCCTTTCCGTGAAAGGGACCATGAGGAGTGGAAATCAGGACGTTCCCCCCCACATCCACCCATGGATGGAAGCTAGAGGGTCGGGGGAGCCTAAAGCCTGGGTCCCTCCTCACTACCATTTCGGGAGGGAGAAGGGATGGAGCAGGAGCGGGCTAAGGGGGACTTGGGAGGGGCCTTGTAATTTATTGCTTTGTTCCCCAACGAGGGGGCGGGGGCGGGCAGGGCTTGGGGAGGGCGTTTGGGGGTAGGGGAAGCCAAGGGTGGGCAGAGGGTGGGGTGGGGTGGGGTGCTCTCGGGTTGTGAGTGTCTGTGACCGTGACTGCGTACCTGTGACTGTGCAGCGCCCGTGGTGCCACGCCCAGCCCCCGTCGCCGGAGCAGCGCCGCCAGCGTAGGCCGAGCCGACGCCCCCGTCGCGCTGGTATAGTTGCGCCGCCGGAGAGACACCCCCTACCCCACCACGGACCGGGCACGACCATACTGGGTGGACCGCTGGACAGATGCACCCACTCACCTCTCCAATCCGCACCCCGTCCCATGGGAGCACTTCTTACCCCCACCCAAGAGGGCACAGCCCCCACGCCTCCCAGAAGACACAAACTCACCTCCCTCTCCCCAACGAGGCATGGAGACCCCTTCTTGACACGCCCCCTCTCCACTGTTTGCACCCTCGGATTGCTCTGGGTCTACTCTCTGGGTGTTGGCGGGAGGGGACGCCCCCGTCGCTGTCCCTGCTCCTGGCCGTTTGGATGTGCCCGCTCGCGCCCCCTGCGGGTGGGGGAAAAGACCCAGTCCTGCCCGTGCTCGACAGTCCCACGGCGCGCGAGCACTTACCCAGGCTGGCTCCTGGGGCGACGCCACGCCACAGGGAGGGGTTAGTAAGTGGGAGGGCTAGCCCTGGGACTTGGGGCCAATAAGGGGGACCCTACCCCTTCCATACTAATCTCACTGCCCAGTGAAGGGGGAAGGGCAGCGAGGGGCAGGACCCCTGCTGCCCATGGGGGTAGGGGGTCCCCAACCCTTTCCGTGAAAGGGACCATGAGGAGTGGAAATCAGGACGTTCCCCCCCACATCCACCCATGGATGGAAGCTAGAGGGTCGGGGGAGCCTAAAGCCTGGGTCCCTCCTCACTACCATTTCGGGAGGGAGAAGGGATGGAGCAGGAGCGGGCTAAGGGGGACTTGGGAGGGGCCTTGTAATTTATTGCTTTGTTCCCCAACGAGGGGGCGGGGGCGGGCAGGGCTTGGGGAGGGCGTTTGGGGGTAGGGGAAGCCAAGGGTGGGCAGAGGGTGGGGTGGGGTGGGGTGCTCTCGGGTTGTGAGTGTCTGTGACCGTGACTGCGTACCTGTGACTGTGCAGCGCCCGTGGTGATCTGGGGTAGGCGGCACCCCTACAATGGGACCCCTCCCCCACTGTTCTTCCTGTCCAGCCCCTCCCTTCCACTGGAGCAGCTCCAGACCCAGCCCTCAACCCCAGGATCCCTCCCAGCCAGGGTTAAGAGGATGTGAGGTGGCTGGGAGGGTCTCCAGGCCCCCTGTCTCATCCCCGGAAAGGGGGTGCTGGGGTGAATTTACCTGGCCCAGCCCCGCCTCCCTCAGTCAACCCAGCCCCTGGGCCGTCTGTGTCAGTGGTTTCCGGTATTTTTTTTTTTTCCTGGCTAAAATATTTTGCAAAGGACCAGGTAACTGGGGAGAGGAGAGGGGCGGGGGCAGGGGGGGAATACCCCCCCCCATCTCCTCCAAGGCAGGTGGTGTGAATCTTCTTCAACAGCAATTAAAGAGGAAGTGATTTTGTCTAGGGGGTGAGCTGCTGGTCTGTTCTTGAAGAGTTGGGTCAGGGAATGGCCTTGGTCAAGGTGGGGAATTGGAGGTGGGAGAGGGCCAGGGAGGGTGCCTCCTGCTGGGGCTGGTGTCAGGGCAGTATCCAAGGGCGCGGAGGCAGTAGGTCAGATGCTCCATCATGTACAACAGTTCCAGGTTCATGTAGTGGAAGGAGACAGGCAGGTCAGGGCAACAGTGGGGACCCAGGGAGCAGAGAAGTCACTAACTCTCAAAATGACTCCTGTTTTGGGAAGGAGTTGGGGTGTGGAGCTTAGAGAAGAGGACAGGGGAGGGGGGCTGCTTGGAGGGGTGAGAAGATAGAGTAGCTTTGGTTAAGAGCAGGAACTTTGGAGTCAGATCTGATTTTGACACCACTACCTCCACTTCATAGTTAGGTGATCTTGGGCAGGTTACCTTGGTGGCATTTGTTTATTTGTAATCTGAACAATATCTGTTCAGAGGGCACCTGGTAGGGGCTCCAGCATCAGTCCTGGAGGACTGCCCCAGGCCAGCCTACCCACTTTGAGCACCTGGTACCAGAAGTAGAGCTTTATTGTAGGGGTCCCTCTCCTGGCAGGGAGGGAAGGGATGGAAGGTCTCCCAATCACAGATGTCCCTGGTGTCACAAACTCTCTGTTCAGCTGAGGCAGACATTTGCCCACCCCCATGTCATGCACAGGACTGCAAGGACACAGCAGCCTGAGGCCAGCGCAGCCGCCAAGAGCTGCATGCAGCATCTCGTGGTTCAGTACATAGGCAGTCCTGCTGTTCCTTGTGTGCAGCTGAAAGCGTTTAACCTGGTAGAGGGACCGGCGGGGGAGGGGGGGCGGGCGGCGGGGGGGGGGCGCGCCCCCCCCCCCCTGCCGATGCAGGGGACGTGGGTTCGTGCCCCGGTCCGGGAAGATCCCACATGCCGC